CCTGAAGCATGTCGCAATGCAGCCCCTGGCACAAAGAGCACAGGTGTGATTCAGCTTTCAACGGGCCCGTTACCGCGGATTAGCCCCATGTTGTCTAATTGTGTTCTCCGGACCACAATAGAATGTTGTTTTATCGGAGTAATAAGTCAGAGCGTCGGCCATCTTGAATGTCACCGTGAAATTTCTGCGAATCTGTCCCTGGCCTCTGCCCAGCCGCTGCAGGTGAGGTCCATGGGAGAGAGCAGCTGCCACGCTCAAACTTGCATTCAGACACGCACCAGCCGGCATATACGGCCCCCATAGATAGATTGATGGTGGTGGGGGTTGGAGGGCGGAGTGTGGTAGACCCAGGGCTGTGTGTAACCGTCCTGAAAGCAGGCCAGGCTTCACCGTGTAGCGGACATGCTCCCCAGCCCACAGTCAGAGTAACAGTTTATGTGACAAGCATTATAAAGGTGATTTATAGAAGGCATGTGTGTTGGATGGAATATTTTGACGGGGGTATTAGGAGTCCTCCAGCCTTTCTGCATCATCCAGAAAATTAAGCATTAAACAAACTTCCCGTGGAAATAATCGCGCGGAGCGAAGGGAAACCATGAACGCCCTCTGAGAGCCCGTCAAGGTCGCAGCCGTCGTGCTACTGGAAGCATACGCTTATGAGAGCAGGTTTTTTTTTTTTTTTTTTAAACGGGATGGCCTGTTATGTCTGGCACTGACCTTAGGCTTGCTCTCTTCTGTACACGTTCGTTCAGGGCTGACCCTGGATCAGCGTGCCAGTGACGCCTGCGAATAGTTCCCTCGGCTTTGATGTAGAACGGCCGCATGAGCAGGCAGGTGAGCGGAGCTTAGTGAGGGTACAGTTCAGACGGTGGCAGTACTAAATTACACAAAGGTTTACTTCTGTGCCACACTGAACCCTTCTGACATGCCTTTGAGGGATTTATTTAGAGACGCACCGAAGTCCAAACAGGTTTAAAAAAAAAAAAAAAAAAAAAAAAAAAACCTTTCGTGACCAACCCAATGACCTGCTTCCTGGAGAATACACGCTACAGCTTTCTGGGGTTTCCATTCAGACAGTACAATTTCACAAACCGTCCATTATCCACAAACTGTCAAACTACTCCAAAAACAACATCTCAGATCAGAGGATATGCGATACTTTGGATTATTTTGTGGCTCTGTGTTAATTTGTTTATGTATTTAGCAGAAACTTCTATCTAAACCAGCGGTTCTCAACTACTTTTCTGACAGAAATGTTTTCACATCCCTAATATTCCATTAGAAGCCCCTCATCCTCCCCCCCAGCATCTCACCACACCCCCTGCCCGGGAACCCGCCCCACTATTTAAGAAGTACTGATCTTAAGCCACTTACTTGAGTTGCTTTAGGTGTATGGTTCCTCCGGGGCTTGAACCCTGGTCCTTCTGTATGTGTAAAGCAGGCGCGATAACCGCTACAATATGGACCCACAGTGGTACGGAGGCAGCAGCAGGGATGTTGTGTTCCTCTGGGTGGTGTGTGACATCACAGCTGTGGGAGCACAGTCACAGTTTATTTACACTTCATGAACATTTGACCAACGCTCGTCTTCCTCAGAACGCTGTACCAGCGAAGAAGCTAACGTTACCTGGAACGTCACTGCTGAAGACTCGTCCGTTAGAAATGTAGCCAAAAACTCAAAGTCCAGAAGTGAAACTTAAAGCCTTCTTGTCTCGGGACAGAAATGGGGGAAATAGCGCCGAAACCTTAGCCCACAGTGAGCCTCTGACTCCAGATGGTTTGTTCTCTCTCCTCTTTTGATTTCCACAGCTGTACCTGCTCATGCTAACTAGCCAAAAAAAATAAAAAAAGACAAAGAAAATGCAGCATCAACTGTTTGGAATACGATTTGACAAAGCCCAGTATGTGGTACAAGTAGTAGATGTCACAACGAAGAGGCCGGAGAGGAAGCGTCCTGGGATTTTATTGGCTCTGGTCGTCAGACTGGGATGAAGTCGGAGGATTGAAAACACGCTGCTGTTCCTCATTTTCTGCTGTGATTTCTGTCTTAGCTGCTTCCAAAGGCCTCTTGTCACACTCCTCTAATCCACATTTTCCTTTTGTTACCAGATCCACCTGCTCACCTGTTTCAGATTACCAATCAGATACATACTCCCGCCTCGACACACACCTGTTATTTATTTCCTTTAGATTTCATCCTTTTTTTTTCCTCCTCTCACGTCGTTGCCAGATTGTTAGCTGCTGCCAAGGAGGTTTTAGTTCTGGCTGCATCTGTCTGTTTGATTGTAAGCAACACAATGAAAGACTGTGCACGGATGGATAAAGAGTAACAGTTGTAAGGATTAGCCAGAAGGGGGCAACTTCACCGGTTAGCACAAAATCCTAGGGAACATTTTCATAAGTAAACCGACAGTTAAAGTTTGTTTATACTGGTTAAAACTGGATGTAAACAGTAGATGCTAATTGTTAGCATTCACTGCAGGAGTAAGTAACACGATGCTACTCGTCATTAGCATCATTGGTGTGATGTTCCAACACTTTGTGTCAGTAAAGACATGGGAAAAATACATGTGGCAGTGATTCATATATTATTAAAGAGAGGTTTTGGTGTTTTTAAAATAAAATGCTATGCTAAAATAAACAGCTTCCCCAAAATTATTTCTTCCCCCAAAAACATGATGTCCAAGTGCATTAGCACTGCATTTTCTGTCACACCCTCTGGTTTTCACCCTCTGAAATCAACCCTCCATGGGGGTCTCGATATCCAGGTCACCTGCCCCACCCCCCGTCATACTATACACCAGGTCCCTAAAGACCTGCCTGCAAACTGCAGCACATTACCGGACGTCTCTCATTTAGACGTGCAGGCGTCCCAGCAGGGAGTCTTTGTACACAGCAGGCGAGGCATCCTGGGACAGCCCAGGACGGAGCTGCCTCCATCTGGACCGAGGGGCTTTATCAGAACCACCTGCCTGTGGGAGTCAAGTATATCTCAAAGATCTCCTTTCCCTCCTTAGAAAAAAGAAGAAGAAAAAAATCATCTAAACTGCTTCCTGTTGAGCTGCATGCCAACACTTTTTTTCAGGTTCTGGGAATTGTGTACATTTTTACTTCGCCTTTTATGTGTATGTGAGTGTGTGTGTGTGTGTGTGTGTTGAAGTGGTGGTTTAAGCCTCCTGACATTTAGCCAGCTCTCTGAGTGAGAACCTAGCTTAGCTTATTAAAGTGCGGTTTGATGTGGGGATTAGAACCTAGTTACACACGATACATCAGGGGTCTCAGACTCGCGGCCCGCAGTACAATATTTTGTGGCCCCTCACCTTAAAATGAAGGTATAATATCAGTGTGGCCCGCGGAGAAAGTGGGCTTCCGAAGAGCCAATCAGCAAGCTCCCGCGCGCCGTCCCTTGTCGGGGCTA